TTAGGGTCAGTCTCTGCTCGATTCTCACAAAACCCAAGGAGGAAACGGAGGCCCAGAGAGGGTAAGAGACTCAGCGAGGCCACACAGCGAGCAGGGAGTGGGGAACACTCAGGGCCTGGCTCAGGGCACGGACTCTGCAGGCAGGCCCGTCTCCCCCCAACGTGGCCTGCCGGCTCAGCACGAGCTCCTCCCTCCGCTGGTGGGCTGTGCAGCCACTGAGGCCACGCTGGTGTGGGCGGCCCTGTGTCTCTTCTCTCTGGGGTGACTTTGAATCCCAGGGAGCCACAGCCCCCGCTGCGTACGCTGCCTCGGCATGAACTGTGATGACCTTGCCTTGCGGAGAGTTCCAAGTCTAATTCGTACTCGCCATCAGCCAGTTATTTGATCCAGATGCCTATGAAGTGCGCTGTGCGCTGGGAGCATCCTGGTCGGGGGTGTGTGTGTCCCGGGCAGGGTTCCCGTCTCACGACTCAGGGAGTGGGGTCTCGGGAGGGGTGCATCCCCCTTTCCTGGGAAGAACCTGGGACGTGTTTCCCACCCCCGCACCTCGGGGCCCAGGGGAGGCACAGAGGAAGGGCGATTGGCTATGGTGGGGGGCTGAGGCATGCGGGGGGTGGGGGTGGTCTAGGACACCTCCCCACCCTTCTGCCCTTATCCAAGTGCCCTGAGGATCAGGTATCACCCAGGAGGGGCCCTCTGCCCACCTGGGGACTATGAGGCCACAGGTCAGCAAAGTCCTCATTTCCCCTGGGCCTAAGTACTCAGAGGTAGCCAGATGTGGGGCAGCCCTGAGGGTACCTGGGGGGCTTGGTCACCTCGGGGTCTCCTGCCCCTTGGGAGCTAAGGCTCCCTGTGTGGGACCCATGGGGCCTGATGTGATGCTGCAAGGACACCCTCTGCTCCTGCTCCCCCTCCATCTCCAATCTGGACCTTGGGACTCTTCTGGAAGTCACCCCCTCCATGGCCCGGCCCATCATCTCCTCCTGGTGGCCCCATGGGGTCTTCTCCATGGGGACACTCGGTCAGATGGCGCCCCCTCTGCCGGCTGCCTCCCTAGGCTCCCAACTCAGAGTCAGAGACATGTCCCCTGTGGCCCCCAAGGCACCCTCTCACCACCTGACTGAGCCAAGTCAAGAAGGACAGGCTGAAGGCCACTTGCTCTCCTTGTTCCAGAATCCGACCCCCACCCCATCGGGACCCTTCTCTTGCGCACACTCGCTGGCCGGGGTGGGGGGGGGCAGAGGCCCTGAGGGGGCCCCGGGTCCTGACTATCTGCTGAGGCCTTGTTCCCACCCACTCTGGATGCCTCCCTTCTTCCTCCCAACGTCTTCCCAGCTCACCCTGCAGATGGGACTTGCCCCCTCCTCACAATCAGCCCTGTCGTAGGGACACATTCCTAGTCTTGGAATGATCAGCTACAGCCTGGATGGCCAACCCTTGAGGTGACTCTGGACAAGAGCCTGCAGGTCAGCTGTGTGTGCATACCTGGCCAGAACAAGAGTGCCTGCACGTAGAGCCCAACCCAAGGCCGAGTAGAGATCCCCTCAGGGGCCAGGGCGGGCAGTTGGGGGGGTGGGTGGGAGCACGGACCGGGGGACAGGATGCCCCCCACGCACATCCTGCCTCTGCCCAGAGGAAGGCATATTCTTTCCCTCTGGGCAGCACCAGGTCTCAGCCCCTCTGCCAAGCAGCCTCAGTGGGTGGGGGGTGGTTGGCCTCCTGCCCCCCCAAGTCATGGTGGCACCCCAGGCCACCTCACTCGAGGGTTCTCAGATGAGCCCTGAGTCTCAGAGCCACCAGTGGCAGGGAGGACTGGGCCTGGCTTCAAATATGACTCTGGAATTTTAAGAGCAAAATACTAGTTAGGTCAACAAGGGCCAGGGCCTATTATTTCCCACCCCAAACCAAGGTCCAGGGGGACCTCTCATCCCCAGCATACCGGGTGTGCCTGCAAAGAGTGACCACAACCAGAGTCATGTCCAAAAGACACACACTCCGGCGTCCTCCAGGGCCTGGGGGAGGGGCCGGGAAGTCTTGGGGAGGCCTGTCCACGGGGCACGACCCAGGCTGGGGGCAGAGCATGGGGCACAGTGTGGCCCCTGGGCCAATCGGGGGGGGGTCCAGGCCTCTGAGGACCCCAGAGCTGAGATTCTGTCCGTGTGGATCTCACAGAGGTGGGGAGTCCCTGTGGCGCTCATCCTCCTTCTGCACAGGCTCCAGGTGGGCTGTGGGCCTGGACCAGCCCCGCCCCGCAGGAAAAGCCCACGCCAGCAGCCCTGCCCTGGTCAGGCCATGGTGCCGTCCTGAATTCCATCAAAGAACAACAGACTGACATTCCGGCTGAATTCAGCCAGCCTGAGTTCCCACCCTGGTGCCCACCTCAGCTTCCCTGTTCCTAGAGGAAGGTGCCCACCCTGCCGTGGCTTCTCCAGGCTTGGGTCAGAAACGCAGATGCAGGGCTGTCGGGGCCCTGCCCCCAAGGCCCCTCCTGCCGGCTTCACTGTGACCCAGAAATTTCTCAGCAGACCCAACACAGCCTGTCCCAGGAAGCAGGACTTCCACCTACCCGTTCCTGCAGACCTTGCTCCAAGGTGAACGACCCCCCAGCAGCCCCATGGAGAGTGCTCACAGGTGCAGCTCTGTCCCAGTCTGTGGACTCCTCTTCTGTCCCCCAACCCCGAGATCCCCAAGAAGTCTCTGAGAAGCTCCAGCCTCCTCCTTCCTCCACCTTTGCTCTGTCCTGAACTCTGTCTGAACCCTGCCCTCTCCAGCTCCCACCAAGAGCCGTATCTAGGCAGAAGCTGGTTCACCTGGAGGTTTGCAGGGTGGTTTGGGGACATTCCCTGGTGGCTCAGATGGTAAAGAATCTGCCTGCAATATGGGAGACCTGGGTTTGATCCCTGGGTCAGGAAGATCCCCTGGAGAAGGGAATGGCAATCCATTCCAGTATTCTTGCCTGAGAATCCCATGGACAGAGGAGCCGGTAGGCTACAGCCAGTAGACTGTAGCCTACCGGTTCCTCTGTTCATGGGGTCGCAAAGAATCAGACAGGACTGAGCAACTAAAACTTTGGGGACATGCACAAGCAGAATCATAGGGCCCTTGAGTCCTTCCTGATGGTGGTAGGACCTGGGGTCTGGAAACTGATCCCCAGAGCACAGAGCAAGGCCTGGCTGACCACAAGGGAGCCTGATGGAGGAGAGTGTCAGAGCCCCCAGGGGTGATATGAATAAAAAATTTTGGTCCTAAAACAGGAGGGCCTCCCTTGACACCCTTCACCCTCTGACTTGGGTAGCACCAGATCCCCTGGGATATTCTCCTCTGAAGATCCTAAGAAGGGGTTCAGGGAACCCAAGGAGTGAGGAGGTCAGGTGGGCCTGAGGCCCATGGAAAAGACCACCCTCTTCAGGGGCTCCACCTATGAAGCAGGGCAGACCAAAGATAGGGTGTCGGTCCTGGGCCTGCAAACCCACTCTGTGTGGGAGTCAAACAGGGAAGAACGGAGCCCACAGCCAGGGAAGCACCCCCATCTCCAGGACAGCAGCTCAGGAGGGTTTCCACCCCAGGATACCTGCTCACCCTCATGGGGCCCTAACAGTTTTTATTTCAAGACATTCACATGTGTTAAAACAGGAAATAAAGTAGGTGAGAAACAGCATCTCCCACACTCTCCCCGGGTAGCAGGCTCTTCCTGTGGCCTCAGCCCCACCCGCCCCCACACAGGCCTGGGAAGGACCCCCCAGACACAGCCTACATCCCGTCCAAACCCTGAATTCCCAGCTTCTGTTTCTCCAAAGCATTTTGACTTACTTGTGCATGTGAGCACACACATGCATGCTCACATATGCCCACACACAGGTACACAGGCACAGAGCTGGGCTCGGCGGCTCTGTTAGGTGACCCATGCTGTGCCCCGGTAAAAGGGAGGCATTTGGAGTCTGATGACGAAGCTCCACAGAGAGAATGTGCCCAACGGACACGTGGTAGGAGGAGGGAGCACCAAAACCAGAAACAACCTTAAAGGCCTTAGTGAAAGCTGCTCAGTTGTATCCGACTCTTTGCAACCCCATGGACTATACAGTGGGGAGTGGGGAGCCTTCCCCTTCTCCAGGGCATCTTAACATCGAACAAACAAAATGGCTTTACTTTTGCTTTCTGTAAGGCAGTTTCTGCAGCAGAAAAGTGGTGCCTCCCTCCCAGGAATGACATCGACGTTTGTTGTTGTTCAGCCGCTCAGTCACGTCCAGCTCTTTGCGACCCCGTGGGCTGCAGCATACCAGGTTTTCTTATCCTTCACCATTTCCCAGAGCTTGTTCAAACTCATGTCCAGGGAATCCATAAGGCTATCCAACCATCTCGTCCTCTGTTGTTCCCTTCTTCTCCCGCCTTCAATCTTTCACAGCATCAGAGTCTTTGCCAAAGTATTGGAACTTCAGTTTCAGCATCAGTCCTTCCAATGAACATTCAGGATTGATCTCCTTTAGGATGGATTGGTTGGATCTCCTTGCAGTCCAAGGGACTCTCAAGAGTCTTCACCAACACCACAGCTCAAAAGCATCAGTTCTTTGGCGCTCAGCTTTCTTCATGGTCTAACTCTCACATCTATACATGACTACTGGAAAAACCATAGCTTTGACTAGATGGATCTTTGTGATGTTGACTTTAGAAATTTATTATAACCTAAAGATATGGCTGAAGTCACATGTTCATATTTTAATCCAGCTAGAGGAGGCTGCCACCTGTGGCTGCCCTCAGAAGGCCTTGCCCCCAGGTGCCATTATGTCGGTCACCTGTGGTCCAGGACTCAGGCCCTCGGGAGCTGTGACAGCTGAGCGAGGACCCAGAGCAGGACTCTGTGCGTCGCTGTCCTGACCAAAGGTAGAGACCCCTCTCAGCCTCCACGCTCGCCCTTTACCACCACCTTCGGCCTCACTGCCAGAGCAAAATTGGAAGTAAAGGGCCTTATCCTTTCAGTTTCTGTAGATAAACAACACCTCCACCCGGGGTGAGGGGGGCCAAGGGGAACTTCCTGTTGGCGATGTTACATGGCTTGGGGTTGATGATCTCTGTGATGTCGACAGGCAGGAAACGGGCACCAAGGAGAAGTTCTTTGAGAGGGAGGCCTAGTCCCTCTATGGCAGTGGGGCCAGCAAAGAGGGAATACAGCCAGAAAAGCCGGGTGGGGAGCTCTTCGGGGGCAGCAGGAATGGAGCAGGAGACCTGGGGCCGTCCATTGAGGGCTTGAGCAGGTGCAGGGGGTAGGCTGGCCTGGACGAGATGGGTGCAGATATACTGGAGGATTGAGGGTGTGTGTGTGTGTGTGTGTGTGTGTGTGTGTGTGTCTGGTTGTGTGGTGGATGGATGGATAGAAAGATGATAGATATTCAACAGATAGGTGTGTAGCAGGTTAAGTATAGGTACAGAGATTGTGGATGGCTAGACAAACAGACGGTCTTCCCAGGTGGGGCTAGTGGTAAAGAACCCACCTGTCAGTGCAGGAGATGTAAGAGATGTGGGTTCGATCCCTGGGTCGGGAAGATCCCCCGAAGGAGGGCATGGCAACCCACTCTAGTATTCTTGCTGGGAGAATCTCACGGACAGAGGAACCTGGCAGCATACGGGCCCATAGGGTCACACAGAGTTGGACACAACTGAAGCGACTTAGCATGCACACAGACAAACAGACACATAGAAGGACAAATGGGGAGAGGCAGATGTGTGTGGAAACGTGTGTGTTAGAAGTCTGTAGGCTCCAAGAAGGCAGTATCTATGGTGATTGAAACTGACAGACCTGGGTCCAGCATCAGGGCTACCCGTTACTGGCCATTCAACTATGAACCTAAGTGACCCCTCTGTGTGCTGTAAGTGGGTATTCGTGTAGCACCAGGACCCACGTGTGGAAGGTCACTGTGAGTGTGAAATTGCCCTTGAGCAGCACAGTAAGGGACTGAGGCTTGCTACCTGGCTTCTTATTCTGGCCTGATGGTGGGCCAGCCATGGCTCTAGGGTTTAGGACAAGTCCTAAGAGGTGGGCTGAGACCCCTGCCCACCTGTTCCCATGAGGGAGGCTGACAGCAGTCATGAGGTGTTTCCAGGGGCAGGTCGGGCAGGGGTCAGTCAGCAGGTACCAGCTGGCGTCGGCGAGAAGGGCCCGAAAGGAGACCAGGGAAGAGCATTCGCAGTTCTGGGCTCCAGTGAGTGAGGAGCCGGCATGCGGAGGAGCAGCAAGAAGGCTGGGGGTGTGGGTCAGTGGGGGAGGAGCACAGGGTCCTGAAATTTCTCGACTAGATGGGGGCGGCCCCCTCAAGGGCCCGAGACTCACGTTTCCACCATCCCAGGGGAAATGGGGCTCCAAGTTGGCCTCAGCCTGATTGAGAAAACCAAAATAGAACAAAAAGCTATGACATGTCTGGCCTGCCGCGGATGTGGGGAGAGTTGCCTGGAGGAAACACTTAAGGAGCGTGGAGAGGGAGAGGGACCACCCTCAAGGCTCTCAAAGGTGATGAGCAGGGCCTCTCAAAGCGAGGCCAAGTCTTCTGACCCCAAGAGGCGTGAAGCTTTGGAGAACACAGACCCCGCACCACTTCCCTGAGGGCCTGACAGGCTGGCATGGAGCTGCCGAGGAGCCTGGGTTCCTGGGTTCTCACGGCTGGTATCTGAGGAGAGCGGGGGCAGGTGGGGCCTGTTTACATCCGACAGGCCAGCGCGGCCCCACTTGAGTCAGAGTGTGAAACATCCATCAACAACGCTTCAGAAACACAGCTTGACGGCAGCTTTCATGGGCTGTGACCAACAGTCCCAAACCTTATTTTCCACAAACACCAACAGATGTTTAAAATTGGGGCGGAATCTCTAGGACCCAACATTTCTCAAGCGGGGGCCTGGAGCAGCTCCAGGGAGCTCGGCCCAGGGCCCTGCTCTGCTGTTCTAAAGCCGCCCTTCGCACGTCAGGAATGTCAAACAGAGCTGACCTCAGCGCCGTCCTCTCCAGCAGCAGGCAGGCTCCGGGGTGTTTGTCTAATTAAAACAAACTAGTTGGGCGGTATATTATTTCTCCAACCAAACAATATTGAAGCTGCATGTGAGATGCATTACTATTGCTTCCTGCTGGCTCTGGGGCTCCTGGGTGAAGCGCACTCATTTTCAAGCCTGCTCAGCACATTTAGCAAGTGAAAAAGAGAGATGATTGTTTCCGATTTCGCTGAGGAAATTGAAGCAATCAGAAAAGAACTCCCATGTGCTTCCACCGCTGCCATGGCATCTCCTGCCCCCCCCCCACCCCACCCCCATGTCATACTCCCACCCCCAGCCAGCCAACTCTGCCGAGTGCACTGGATCTAGCCCCCTCCCCCTATTCAAGGACAGGCTCCCCATGCCCCCAGCAAGTTTCCTCAGGACCCAGTCCTTCTCCAAAACACTTGTGCTGCGCCACTCTGTGGGCCAGTGACACCCTAACAGCTCAACATCTTTCTGCTCTTTACCATAAGCCCCTCAGAAAAGAGCCTGGTCATCTACAACTCCTGTCTCCTTAGTCTTTCCTATTGTTGCTGTTCAGTCGCTAAGATGTGTCTGACGCTTTACAAATGCCAGACTTCCCTGTCCTTCACTATGTCCTGGAGTTCGCGCAAACTCATGTCCATTAAGTTGATGATGCCATCCAACCATCTTATCCTCTGTTGCCCTCTTCTCCTCCTGCCCTCAATCTTTCCCAGCATTGGGGTCTTTTCCAATGAGTTGGGTCTTCGAATCAGGTGGCCAAAGTTTTGGAGCTTTAGCTTCAGCATCAGTCCTTCAGTGAATAATCAGGGTTGATTTCCTTTAGGACCAACTGGTTTGATCCTCTCCAATTCTTTTCTCTCCCCTCGTCCACCAAAAACACTTTTGCTGACCTCCACTTTGCTAAATCCAGGGCTACCCCTAGTGGCTCAATGAGTAAAGAATCCACCTGCAATGCAGGAGACACAGGAGAGGTAGGTTAGATCTCTGGGTTGGGACGATCCCCTGGAGAAGGGCATGGCAATCCACTCTGGTATTCTTACCTAAAGAATCCCATGGACTCCCATGGACAGATGAGCCTGGTGGGCTACAGTCCATGGGGTTGCAAATAGTCAGACTCAACTGAAGTGATTGAGCAGGCTCGCATCTTGGAAGATCAGCAACACCCAGAATAGAGCATTGCTCCCCTTGGGGAAACTCCTTCTTCCTGGGATTCCTAGGACCCCCCCATCTCCCAGTGCTCCTCCTCCATCATTGACTGCTGTCCTCCACTTTGCTGTCTCCTTTATGAACTCTCCTTGTCATCATGGCCCCTGTATTAGTTTCCTACTGCTGTTATAATAAATTACCACAATTTTAGTGTTTTAAAGCCACACATTTTTTTTTGTCTTACAGTGCTGGATGTCAGAAGTCCAAAATGGATTTCTTTGGGCTAAATCAAAGTTGTCGAAAAGATTGCCTTCCTTCTGGAGACTCCAGGGAGAGTTCACTTCCTTGCCTTTTCCAGCTTTTAGAGGCTGGTCTCTTCCTCCATCTTCAAACCAGCCGCCTCATCCTTCTGGTCTTGTTTCTATGTCACATCTTCTCTAACTCCACTGTTCTTGTCTCCCTCTTATCATGACTTGTGATTGCATTGGTTCTACCTTGATAAAACAGGCTAATCTCTCCATCTCAAAGTCATTAGCTTTAAAAAAATTTTTTTTTTTAAATTTATCTTATTTTTGGCTGTGCTGGGTCTTCGTTGCTGTGAGCGGGCTTTCTCAAGTTGCAGTGAGCAGGGGCTAATTTCTAGTGGCGGTGCTGACTTCTCATTGCTGTGGCTTCTCCTATTACTGAGCATAGGCTCTAGGGCACTCGGGCTCAGGAGTTGCAGCTCACAGGCTCTAGAGCATGGGCTTAGTAGTTTTGACACATAGGCTTAGTTACTCCTCAGCGTGTGGAATCTTCCCAGACCAGGGATCAAACCCCTCTCTCCTGCATTGGCCGGTGAATTAACCACTGGACCACCAGGGAAGTCCTCAAAGTCCTTAACATAATCACACCTGCAAACTCCTCAACTTAATCACACCTGCAAACTCCTCTTGGACCTATGAGATAGCAGATTCACAGGTTTGGGGAATTGAAATGTGACTATCTTTGGGGTCAATGATTCTGCTGGTCATGGTCTGCTCTCTGGCCTCCAAAGTTTCACATGCAACATCCTATGTGTAGAATACTTTCACTCACCCCAATATCCTGGGTCCCCAGGGAGTGGAGTCCTGAGTCACACTCCCAGCAGGGAGCTGCAGCTCTGGGGAGTGGTCCACTGGGTCAGGTTGTGAGAGCCGGTAGGTGGCAGCGCCAGGCTGGCCTACTGTGTGCTCTGTCCTTCCCGTTTCATCATGTCAGCTGTAGGAAACCAAGGGCTTCAGAAGCAGAGGGCCAGGGGCAACTTTGAGGCCACGTCTTGTGTTAGCTTTGCCTTAGTCCTTTGGCCGGTCCTATAGCAGACGGCACTGTCTGCTCACAGTTCTTCCATCTCTCCCTGCCCCTGTGTCACAGCCTGGCTTCATGTCCAGCTACGAACAGTGGACCATGGGCAGTTCTGCACAGAGGTTTCGGATGTTTCTGCTTCCCCTGCACCCCTGGTCTGCTCCCCTCTTCCATCGGGGTCCCGGGATGAGAGCTGAGAGGCAGACCTGACCCCACCTCAGCCTGAAGCAGCTTCTGCCATCAACACACAAACATGTGAGTAAGGAACACACATTTGCTCCTAAACCACTGAGACTAGTGAGGTCTCTTGTTACATGGCACTGTTGCAGCAAAAGCTGACTAGTAGAGAATTTGGTACTGACTGTGGAGTGCTGCCATAATAAAACCTAAAATAGATGGCTGATAGACTGGGTAGTGAAGAAACTGTTTTAGAAAGTTGGAAAATGTCAACATATGTTATGTAATGGTTGGGAAAAAAAAGCCACTCAAACTGACTCCCTCAAGAAGCTAGAAAACAGGAAACATACCTAATGCAATTCTGCGGAAGAGCTTTCCAAGCAAAATATCTCTAGAGTGAATTAGGTGTTAGTGCTGCGCTTGATCAAGTACCTCAAGAAAAAAGATGAGCTCAGAAAAGAATGGACAAACCGGCAGCAGGATTGAGAGGCAATACAGGGAGCCCAGAAACTCTAGCCTTTGCGGGATTAAGAATTGAGCCTGCTCCTTCCACCAGTAATGAACAGAACTGAGTAGCCACCTTGAGACAGAGAAGGCTTGTAAGATGGCCTGGTGGGCATCCCAGCACAGACTCTGGCCCCCACATCAGTCTATTCAGGACCGGATCTCTGCACAGCAGCCGACCACCATCCAAGACGACTGGAAAGAGGGAGACCCACTCTCCAAGCTCCAAGGACACAGCCTCGGGGACCTCTGCCACCACGGTGCTTATCTCGATGTTTTCAGTCTTTGGAACAACCCCGCGGTGGCTGCCATCCTGTTATGAAGGAAATATGCCGAGGGAAAGGGAGTGGGAGCTCGGACAAAGACAATAAACAGAGGTGTGCCAGGAGGGAAGCATGGTGCTCCGGGAGGCTCCAGCACTGCTCACGGACACCACCATCCCTGCCCTGAGCTAACCCTCTCTGTTCTCCGCCAGCCAGGGTTGCGACTTCAAACCCACCTTTGTAAGGTTGCCCCAAAGCAGGATGGGGCAGAAGGGTGTTTTCCCTGATCCCAGGGCCCTTTGCACCCTGTTTTTGTACAGGGTCCCCCTGTGGCCTCGGCCCCCAGGACCTCTGCCCAGAAGCTGGCGTCCAACACCTTTGCCCAGCTGGTCCTGTGAACATGGCTCCTCCTGGGAAGGAAGCTGTGGTCACTGAGTGTAGTCTGAGAAAGCCTGCGTGACAAGCAGAAGGAAGTCTGAGATTTGGAGCCAGATCTGGTTCAAGTCCTGGCTCTGCCGCTTTACAGCTGTGTGGCCCTGAGCAAGTTTCTTAACCTCTCTGAGTCTCGACATCCACATACGTGAACCAGAACTACTACCACAACCAATCTCAGAATGCGATGGAGAGGGGGCATTCCCTAGAAGACAGTCTGAACAACAGAGGTACCTTAAAAGCCTCCCTGGTGTCGATGGGGGAGGCAGAAGAGGTGATGAAGACCATGACAGTATTATTAACATCAAGCAAGTGAGGCCAGTGCCCACAGAGCCTCTGCTTGTCCATGCGCATGATGGTGTCGGGGGGACCCCGGCCAAAGCCTGGCAAAGCGCTGGGACGTCCTGACAGAACACCGACGTTTTCACAGCAAGGGGCTTTGCCAGGATAAAGGGGAGACTTTGGAAACCAAATGGGAAGACAAAGCACAGGCAGGCCCAGGAAACAAACCCCGAAGATACGTGGGGCTGAAATGATGAAAGAGGCTGTGTCAGGATGCATTTGAAGAAGCCCACTTCCATCCCTTACATGACAAGAGCAGCATCAATTATCTGAGTGCAGAAACACAAAGACTACTTTTCCTGAGCGTCTCTGTGCTCACACTACAGCCAACGCTTCTCTTTGCTTGGATGACAGGGTTTTAAATCAGTTTGGATGCCAGCAACACAGGTTTTTTTTTTTTTTTTTTTTAACATTATCATCTTGCATAGCAAATGTATCCTTCTGCTTCTCTTATGCAAAATGTGTCCCTCTTATGGCAAAAGATAAACTCCAATCTGACACAAAGAGCCGACTCATTAGAAAAGACTCTGATGCTAGGAAAGATTAAAGGCAAGAGGAGAAGGGGACGACAGAGGATGAGATGGTTGGATGGCATCACCGACTAATGGACATGAGTGTGAGCAAGCTCCAGGGGATGGTGAAAGACAGGGAAGCCTGGTGTGCTGCAGTTCACGGTCACAAAGAGTCGGACATGACTGAGTGACTGAACGACACTTTCGCCTAAATTATCACAACTTCAAGTAGAAGCAGATAGTCTTTACATTAACAGGATTGTCATTTTTCCAGGTTCACTTCTCCAAATGGTAGACACTCCCGCCCCCCACCTCCACTCATCCTGCGACTTCCCTTTGGACTCACGCCCTCCCTCTGGGCTTAGCCAGGGGGCCTCCATGAGGGGTGTGGAAGCTGGAAACTTCAGCAAACACAGAGGCCAGCCGGGCTCGGACTGTCATGAGCCAGTCTCATCACTTCCTGTTTGTGTACAGGGCTGGACCTCAAGGAGACCACAGGCTCTGAGGCTCTCTGCCGCAGGCTGTCCTGGCCCCAGTTGGAAGGATAAACCTGATCCCATGGGCTCCCAGACACTCCCCGTGTGCCCTGGGATGGCTCATCTCTGCCTGGATGAAGGCAGAGACCAGTCTGCCTCACCTGAGTGGACCCTTGTTCAGGCCACATGGGCCTTCTGAATTCCTTTCTGTTCAGCCATGATCAGAACAATGGTGACCGTGAGCATTAGGACAAGGGCTTCTTCCTTTTCTCTCCACAGAAGGCGGGAGCTTCAAGCAAAGGGGTCTGAGCTCCTTGTCGACAGTTCTAGATCAAGGTGGTCTGAGTTGGCCTCTTCACCCTGTATGCATTTCAATCTCGCCTCCACGCTTCTCTCCAGCACAAAGGCAATTGTTCTGACCTTTAATGCTTTATACTTTCTGCAAGGGCTTCCCAGGTGGCTCAGTGGTAAAGAATCTACCTGCCAAGGCCGGAGACTCAGGAGATGTGTGTTTGATCCCTGGGTTGGGAAGATCCCCTGGAGGAGGAAATGACAACCCACTCCAGTATTCTTGCCTGGAGAATTCCATGGACAGAGGAGCCTGGTGGTCTACAGGGAATCTATTATTTTTTTGGGTCTCCAAAATCACTGCAGATGGTGACTGCAGCCATGAAATTAAAAGATGCTTGCTCCTTGGAAGAAAAGTTATGACCAACCTAGACAGTGTATTAAAAGCAGAGACATTACTTTGCCGACAAAGGTCCATCTAGTCAAGGCATTGGTTTTTCCAGTAGTCATGTATGGATGTGAGAGTGGAACTATAAAGAAAGCTGAGTGCCAAAGAATTGATGCTTTTGAACTGTGGTGTTGGAGAAGATTCTTGAGAGTTTCTTGGGCTGCAAGGAGATCAAACCAATCAATCCTAAAGGAAATCAGTCCTGAATTTTCTTTGGAAGGACTGATGTTGAAGCTGAAACTCCAATACTTTGGCCACCTGTTAGGAAGAACTGACTCATTTGAAAACACCCTGATGCCAGGAAAGATGGAAGGCAGGAGGAGAAGGGGACGACAGAGGATGAAATGGTTGGACGGCATCACTGACTCGATGTACATGAGTTTGAGTAGGCTCTGGGAGTGGGTGATGGACAGGGAAGCCTGTCGTGCTGCAGTCCATGGGGTCGCACAGAGTCGGACACGACTGAACTGAACTGAACTACCCACTTTCTGTTGTGGTTCTCATCTTTTTCTTGTAAGGGATTTCTTGTACATTCAAGACACTAGTCCCTAACAGATTTTAGAATCTGTAACTGCCTTGCCCCGATCTGTGTTGGTCAATGGGCTTTGTAGCAACACTTCCACAAGCACCCAATGTGACCCCCATGAATAAATGAAGTAGGCACTGTTTCTAAGTCTGCCTTAATGATGAAGAGATGGGGACTCAGAGGCCTAAGCCCCTGTTCCAAGCTCTCTAGTCAGTGAGGGAGGCAGGGTTCAGAAACCGGCTCTCTGCTGTGGCTCTGCATGTCTCAACTCTTGTCCTTTTTCCAAGGGACTTGACTCGTTGGTCTCCCAAACTAACGGCAAATGCCAGGATCTACAGGGCCACTCTGGCCACTTCATGTGAATTGTCTACAGGAGAAATCAGTGTTTACTGAATTTAACTTTTGATGTTGAAAAAGGGCCTTTTGTTTTCATTGAAAGGTTCAAAAGGTTAAATTCAGTGAAACCACTTTAGAATGTTCTACCTGATGTCATGTGAGCAGCTGGACCAAGCACTTCAGTTTTCATTCTGACTCTGCAGTCTTGGTGACCTGCCCAGCAGGCTAGTGGCCTGCCTCGTGGCCCACGCCAGGGTCTGTGCCCCCACCTTCCCTGGGGAGTCTGGGGACAGCCGGGTGTCAAGGAGACACCCCCCACAACCCCGCCACCGGGCAGACAGCCAGGGCGCACCCCGTCTGACCTCTGGCGTTCCGGCCAAGCTTTGGAGCAATCTGCTCCACGTGAACACCGCTGGGAAAGCCGGCTTTGCATTGGAATGTTGCTTCCCTCCATCCTTTCGCCCACAGCCAGGCCACCAAAGTGGGTTCTGATCCTTTGCCCCGAGCCCATGCTCAGGGGGGAAGCCACGCCAGGCGGCAGCCTGCAGGGTGTGCGTGGGGCAGTCAGTGAAGACTTGCACTTTGCCGACAGTGGACAGCTGGACATGGCTCTCACAGGGGAGAGGGAATATTCTGGAATAACTCAAGCCCCTTGAGACTCCTGACCTAGATGGAGCCTCAGGCTGTGAAGGACTCAGGCCTGTCGGGACCTCAGGACCAAAACCAGCTTTCCTGTCCTGTGTTCTCCAAAGATTGGCTCTCGAAAGCAGGGTCACCTCCCAGAAAGCAAATGTTTTCCACCATGCTGACAAAAAAAAATTATGAGTCTGGCACCCGGGTCTGTGCTGCTCCCAGCCGAGTTGCTGGCCTCTGGACCCGAGGTTGACTGAGGAACCGGGGCTGGAGCGTTAACATGGAAGGCGGCTGCCAAACACGGCACCGGGTGCCCGGCAGAGCTGGTGGGCGGGGGAGGGTGCCGGGGGATGTTGCTTTTCAAACTGTTGTCAAAAACTTTTTTCCAATTAAAAGATAAAAAGCCTTCCAAGGAAGAGAAGAGAGGAAGCTGGGAAGCCTCTACCTCATCCATCCTTATACATTTAGAAAAAAGAAACCAGAAGTGGAGGAAACCAAAAATAAAAACACTTCAGAAGCAGCATACTGTGCTGGCATTTCTGCCCGCCCAGCTCCATTCTTGAGACTGTTTCCCTGGCTTCACCCCCAGCTCCTGGAGACTTCGGATGGGTCGCCATCTCCCAGAAACTCAATTTCTGAAGCTGAACCCACAGAGCTGTTTTGGGCTTGAAAATACAATCCTGGGACGTTGTTTTGTACTACTGCAGTGACTGCTGTTGACTGCGGAATGGGCTCCCCTTCCTCACCCTCCTTGAGGGGAAACTGTGCACAGAACCCAACGGGCTTGGAAAACTTGTCCCAATTTCTCTCTCCCATGTTCAACTCAGGCCAAACCCAAATTTCTTTGGCCCAAACCCTCCTCACCTCCTCCAAAGTCAACCCACGTGCTTCCAAGAAATGAAATCCACGTGTTTCTGAATCATTTCCACTTAAGTCATCCAGATGAGGCTCAAGAAGCAGGTTTTGTCCCAGAGATGCCTTCCAAGTATCCCTGCCTGCCTTGCCCAGTCTCCCTGAGTGACAAGAAGCTCCCATTGGCCAAGAGATACTCTACCAGCTTCCAGAAAGGCTCCAGCAGAGCTGAGGTGACAAAGGTCCTAAGTCTGATGGCCGCAGCACCTGAACGTTCAGAACCCATGGAGCTCGCCCAAGGGGATGGTGAGTGACCTGGTTATAGATGCTCATGGTTACATCACCTCCACATACAATTTCCTCACCAAAGCCGCTGTGTATTTTTCAATATCGACAGAGGAATAAAGGCTGTGGGGTGAGACCTTAGATTCAGTAGCAGATTCCTCCCTGAATGTGATTGCAGATGAAATCTCCCCTAAATATAGAAGTAGATGCCACTTGGCAGGAGCGTCCTCAGCCTTCATGTCCCTGTCCAGCCAGTGGAGCCTTTAGTCACTTGCATTGCCAGGCCAGGCGCTCTGTAAATAAAATTCTCCCTGGATGTGGAGCCCAGCCTGGGTCGATGTGAAATTTGATAGCCTCGATGAAAGGGCCTCCATTCAAAAATATCATATCTCACCGGCTGGTATTTCACCATTAGATATTCATTCCTTTGGCTGAGATGTGTTGCTAACATTTCCTATGAAATGCAAGTATCTGGATGTGGAGGACACAAGTATGTTATCAGTCACCAGATCCTCTGTGGGCTTTGTTTGACTGACACCATGCCATGGAGAAGGAAGCCATGGAAGAGATGGAAGGAGTGGAACAGTGGGTGATAGGATGCCAAATGGTCAGTGCAACTGGGGGAGAACAGTGAGAGCAGTAGACATATTTGAGGTCAGTAGAGAAACCCCTGTGCATGCTAAGTTGCTTCAGTTATGTCCGACTCTTTGTGACCCTTTGGACTGTAGCCCTCCAGGCTCCTCTGTCCATGGGGATTCTCCAGACAAGAATATTGGAGTGGGTTGCCATGCCCTCCTCCAGGGGATCTTCCTGACCCAGGGATTGAACCCACGTCTCTTATGTCTCCAGCATTGGCAGTCAGGTTCTTTACCACTAATGCCACCTGGGAAGCCCTGGAGAGACCACCACTGGATAGTAAAGAGGCACAAGTTAGCTGTGGTTGCACCAGGCAGGGAAGGCAGGCAGAGCTGAGAGATACTCGTGTACCCCAGTTCTCAACCCTCACTGCAAGGCATTTGCACACCCAAGGCTGCCAAGACTCCCCAGGGACCCTTGCTCAGCTGACAGGAGGTCACAGCCAAGTGGAGGCATCTGGCCACAGCTGAGCACACTTGCTGAGCCAGCGCGGGGTGGGGGATGGGGGGACTCTGATGGCTGGGGGAGGGCGGGCATTTACAATGTGTAGGGCTTTAAGGCAGCCAAAGTAAACCCACGTGTGTGCAGTTACATAACCTGCTCAGCCAGCCTGAAACAACCTCCCGCCCCTGCCCCATGACAGCAAGAGCCAGGACCCGGGCACCTGCAACTTCCCCTGTGAGCAGGCAAGGGGGGCTCAGGTCCTTCTCTGGGCTCGATGCATGAATAGGGAGGCTGTGGGGGATCCACGGGCTTCTGGAGAGGGAAAATGCTAGACGAAGGCCAGAGCCCACAGTCAGTTCCAAGAGGGAGCTGACAACTTGTCAGGAAGCCCCGGTGAGGGGCTGAGTGGCCAGTGCCAGAGGCTGGGGCCCACGCCAGCCACCAGATCCCCGGACGCCCAGTTCTCACAGACCACTGTCCTCTATAGACTGAGAGGCCTGCGACAATCACACGCATGTGAGTACACACACACACACACACACACACGTGGAGAGAGACACAGGTGGCTGTGGGGAAGAGCCCTAACCAGTCCAGAGCGGTCCTGACTCACTGGTCTGAAGAGTTTCCTGCTCAGGGGAGTCAGGTTTCTGGACTCACAAAGGACACATTCGGGGCCTCCCTGCCCCCTCATTGCCCCTCTGACCCCCATTGACTGCACCAGTCCCAGAATTAGAGGGGGTTTACCGATTGCTCCCCAACACGGTCCGCCTCAGTCCCCCGAGGGACCTGGGACCAGGAGGTGTGTGATGAAGGATACACCTCCCGCCCCCCCTCCCCTCACCGCTCCCTCTCCCACGCCCCTCCGAGCCCTTCCCAGGCCCCCCAGCCCTTCCTTGGCCCCTCGCAGGCCCCTCCGTCTGAGCCCCTCTCGGCCCCAGCTCAGTGCTCTCACCTGTCGAGGAAGGGTCCTTTTTCTAGGGAGCAGGACTCTTCCCATGGCCCTGGGAGGCTCCAGCATCATGAACCCTTCCTCTTCACTTGCTGTTTCTGCATTTCTTGAGCCTCCAGGTGATGGACACTGGGTGGCATCTGGACTGGGCAGAGGGGAAGCAGCAAAGCTGCAGGCTCAGCCAGACAGCGTGCTGGAGGGGGGCCCATCCCACTGGGGCACATACGCCCACTCAGTCCCAGTCCAGCCCTGTCGAGGCTTTTTGCACCTTCAGCCTGGCCCACCATCCACTCCAGACTCTTCTGTCCCAGGAGGGCATCAGCGTACTATTTGAGAGTATGTGGTTCCCCCTCAACTAGGCTGTAAGCAGATACAAAGAGCACTTGAATGAAGACCTCTGCCCTGACATCACCTCCAGGGCCCACAGGCTGACCGTAGCCGGCACATCTTTGAGGCCCCGAGTCTGCCTTGAACTGGATCCCCAGGCAGATGAGGAAACCAAACAGCAGCTCCTCTGCTTCCGACTCCAGAGCCATGCTTGCTGGTGCCTGCACCAGGCCTGAGCAGCAGGGGGTCACCGCCTAGTGGAGAGACCTTGTGGAGGGCAGAGACCAACACCCCCTCCCCCACTCCTGACAATACCCACCCACCTGAGTTTCATGGATGGAGGGACTGAGGCAGAGACACCTGACCTGAGTGTGTCCTGGGCTGGCCCAGCAGAAAGCAAGGCCTTGACAGGAAGGCCAGGAGGTGGCCATGGGGACATGGGCAAAACGGACTTCAGCCATCCCTTCCCTCTGTGGTCTAGCCTCTTCTAACCTTTTGTTCTGATACCAGCAAAATATCTCTTCCCTCCTGTCTTCTCCAGGGTTCACAAAGAAACTGATGTTACCCTATTCAATGCCAAAGAGCAAATATTTGTTCAGTAAACATTAAGTACTTAGCATGTGAGAAAACAAAACAGTAACTCCCCACGTGCGGTGAGAGCTGAGTATGCCAGGTGCTTCCTTCCTTGTCCAGGGGAGATTGGGAGAAGGGGGCCATGAGGCCCACCTTGGGCCTCAGTGTGGGGATGGGTGGGCACTGGAGGGACAGGTGAGAGCAGACTTGAGGCTGACAAATTGGTGGGGCCAGAGCAGGTCTATGTCAGTTAAGGAAAGAAGGGAGTGTACCTTTGGAGGAGCAGGGGGAAAATATTAGTGACACATTCTGACCAAAGGAATGAATTTCTAATGGTCAAATATTAGCTGGTGAGAGGAGGTATTTTTGAATAGAGGTGCTTTCATTAAAATCATCACCTTTTTGGCTAGGGTGCAGCCAGCTAGAATAGGCAAGAAGTCAAAATTAGGGATCTGGGGAGTTGGGAAATGCACTGTGATTACCAGGATGTGGAGATGGACTTCAATTCCACAGGTAGATTCAGTCAGAGATCCTGGGGCAGAGCAGGTGTAAGCTAGTGGGCCTTTGGGGCAGGCATAGAGGCCAGGCTGGAGGAGGCTGGAGGAGGAGGGGCAACAATTCAGGCTGGAGGAGCCCAGGCAGGGGTGGAGGCTTGGAGGAGAGGTGTGGCCAAGGGTGTGGACAGGTCGGATGGATGGGTTGAGGAGGGGAAGGAAGAGGCCAGAGCAACTTTACAGCAACACTAAAAGACAGGAAACTTGGTTCGGTAAAGTCACTTTTACACTAAAACTGCAGTTTTATTCTGTATTACAATCACTTATGATACAGGACAGCACAGCAGGAGCCTGAAATGCCTGCAAGGGGTGGGGGTGGGGAGGGTTGCCCAGGGAGGCTGGGGCAGCTGGGGGAGGGGCTATGCCCATCTACTCAGTTCCATTTGTCTATGAAACAGGGCCTGGCTTATTGGTAGTTTTTTTACCTCTTACTGTTTTAATTAAACTCCACCCCTCACCCCCCCACCCCCACCCCGCGTTATAGAGGTTTTTACCTCTACATGTTGCCTAGGTCTGCTGTGACAAATTATCACAACCTGGGGGGCTTAAAACCACTGAAATTTACCCTCTCACAGTTCTGGAGACTCATGCTCATTTGTGTCTAACTATTTTGCAATCCCATGAATTGTAGCAGCACTCCAAGCTTCTAAAATCACTGCAGATGGTGACTGCAGCCATGAAATTAAAAGACGCTTGCTCCTTGGAAGAAAAGCTATGACAAACCTAGACAGTATATTAAATAGCAGAGGCATTACTTTACCAACAAAGGTCTATCTAGTCAAAGCTATGGTTTTTCCAGTAGTCATGTATGGATGTGAGAGTTGGACTATAAAGAAAGCTAAGCACTGAGGAATTGATACTTTTCAACTGTGGTGTTAAAGACTCTTGAGAGTCCCTTGGAATGCAAGGAGATCCAACCTAAAGGAAATCAGTCCTGAATATTCATTGGAAGGACTGATGCTGAAGCTGAAATTCCAATACTTTGGCCACCTGATGCGAAGAACCAACTCATTGAAAAAGACCCTGATGCTGGGAAAGATTGAAGGCAGGAGGAGAAGGGGACAACAGAGGAGATGGTTGGATGGCATCACTGATGCGATGGACATGAGTTTGAGTAGGCTCCGGGAGTTGATGATGGACAGGGAAGCCTGGTGTGCTGCAGCCCATGGGGTCGCAAAGAGTTGGACACGAATGAACAACTAAACTGAACTGACACTTGCCTGTCCTTCACTATCTCCCAGAGTTTGCTCAAACTAATGTTCATTGAGTTAGTGATGCCTTTCAACCATCTCATCATCTGTCGTCCTGTTCTCTTCTTGCCCTCAATCTTTCCCAGCATATACTTGATAGCCATTTGAATTTCACAGCTCTGAACTACCCGTGTTTAACCTTTGCCCGTTTATCTATCGGCACAAGATTGTGCTCTAGGGAAAAGTAACTGCAATTCCCCAGGTGAGGACACTGTCCCCTGGGCTGCACCCTCACTGTCACCAAGGCCTGGGAGCTGCTCCACTGCTAGACCCAGCCCCAGGCATCAGGATGGGCTTCACTCACCCCTCCACACACCTCTGATCGGCTCCTCCAGTTTAAGGTGGAGATAACACTGCTTGGCTGCTTCTCTTGAGCCACACACTGAGAACATTTTTATTGCAGGAGAGACTTGACCTTGAGTGCAAAGCAAACAAGATGTATGCAAATTTGCTGTCGCTGTGATGATTGAATGCTGAGATCCTCCCTGATTAATTAAGCTGCAAGTCCAGTATTTGGATACCAGGACTCTCCTCCCCAGTCCCCAAGCTGCATAACCACCACGTGGAAACTGCTGGATGATGGATTGTAAACAGCTGGTGGGATCACGCCTTCACTGCCCAAGGAACTGCAAACCAAAAAAACCCACATGTTTAATAAACAGTTGATGATTCAGAATGTGAATGGAAAAAAGAGATGTGAGCGTTGCCTCTTGGATCTAGAGCTGAGCTGGCGGCGGGCTTGATTCTCGCCCTCGGGCGCAGGACACCAGACACCCTGCTTGCACGAAGGTTCCCAGGGTCGGAGCCACAGTCCATCCTGAAACAACGAGGATGTGGGCGGCCCCCTCTGATAGAGGCCAAAGTCACAGAGAGCGGGGCGGGGGGTTTTAGGGACACTAAACACCCAGCTGGCCCTGAGAAGGAAATTAGCCCAGCCCCTTAGCCCAGGCCCGCAGCCCCCGACACAGTGGTGCTTAATAAACGTTAGCACGTAGGAGGAGGTCAGCAGTCACTGGGGCCAGGATGGGAAGCTGGAACCCAGGTGGGGCCCCTCTCAGAACCACCCATCTCATCTTCTGTCCAGGTGGGCGTGCCACGTGGGTGTCCTGGCCAGTGACCTGAAGACTTCAGGTGTACTTAGGAGGGCAAGCTCCAGTGAAGGTGACAGGGGAAGCAGGGTGGGGGACGAGGGAGGGGAAGGCTCCGAATATCAGGCCTGAAGGGCCACAGAGGGTTGCTGGGCCCCCGAGGAGCAGACCTGGGACAGAGATGCAACCGGAGCTGGACGGGTGGCTGGTTGGGGATGGAGGTGAGGATGGCCGTCTGTGGCAAGTAGGGCACGTGGGAGCCTGGCCAGAGGAGTCGGGGAGGCGAGGGCCATCGCTGGGCTGGGCAGACCTGAGCTCGTCTGCAGACCAAGCCCACAGGAGTGGGGCAGCCTCTGCAAACAAGGCCGGGGAGAGGTGTCAGGGACAGAGGCGACATGGTGGGGGGGCAGGAGGGGGGAGACGGGGCCACACAGAGAGCTGCAGCAGTCAGGAGGGGTGCTGTGAAAAGAAGTCCTTTATTTTTTAATTTTGTTAGCTCTGTCCTGACCATTCTGTTTAAAGTATATCCCTCATCTCATCATCACCCTATATTCTCTCTTTTATTTTTCCCCCCAAACCCCAAAGTTTATAGTCTCTCTCTCACTCAAATGCAGGCTTAAAGAAGGCAGCTGTTTTTGTCAGTGACATTTTTCCAGCACCTAGAAATTTCCTGACATACAGAAGGTGCTCAGTAAACACTTACTGGGTGAGTGAAGAACAAGGCAGAAATGTGTGCCCTGTAGGGTTATACAGACCTGTGATCAGTTTCAGGGTCAGGATGGTGTTGGCCAAGGGGGCAGAGCCCAAAAGCAGATGGAAGCTCCAGTGCGGACCAGCGAACGGTGCCAGGAGCTGGTTATGCATATATATTAAAAAAAAAAAGTGAAATTGGATCTGTATCTTGAACCAAACACAAAAGATTGCTTCCAGATGGGTAAGCACTTGTGTGTGAAAATCCAAACTATGAAAGTAAAGCTACAGGACAGTATCTTAAGGTACACAAGACTGGGAAGGGTTTGTTAAGATAGGAAAGGGAAGAAACACAGGGGGAAAGGCAGGCAAATTACCACCGCATCCCAGTCAGGAACTACATCAAAAGACAAAAGGCAGGAACTTCCCCAGTGGTCCAGGGGCTAAGAATCTATGCTTCCTTTGCAGGCGGCATGGGTTTGATCCCTGTTTGGGGAACTAAGAGCCTGCATTGTTGTTTCTCTGTCACTAAGTCGTGTCTGACTCTCTGTGACCCCATGAGCCACAGCATGCCAGGCTTCCTGTCCTTCACTATCTCCCTGAGTTTGCTCAGACTCATGTCCATTGAGTCAATGATGCCATCCAACCATCTCATCCTCTGTCATCCCCTTCTCCTCTTGCCCTTCATCTTTCCCAGCATCGGGATCTTTTCCATTGAGTTGTCTCTTCCCATCAGGTGGCCAAAGTATTGGAGCTTCAGCTTCAGCATCAGTCCTTCCAATGAATATTCAGGATCCTGCATGCCATGACCAAAAAAAAAAAAAAAAAAAGGACAAAAGGGCAGAGGGCAGAGGTGAGGAAAGGTCTGTGCAGGAACAGGGCAGGGAGCCCACTTGCAGAGGAAGCTATGGACAGATGCAGATCTCATTATCTCATTAATAATCAGTGAGGTCTCAATAAACCCCAGTGAGAGACCACTCCATACCCAACCAGTTTCCCGCACGAGAACAGATAAGCACTGAGGACACGAGCAGTCACTTTTGCCTTCCATGTCGCCTCCCTGACCAGGCAAGTGGGGGCAGAGCAGAGTGTGTTCTGG